AAAAAAAAAAAAATGTACACGGCCGATTTCAAGAAAGTACATGAAATGGTTCTCCAGAATCATAAATAAATGTTGTGGGAATTAAAAAGATGTTAACTTTAGCCTTTTTCCAACCGGAAGAGTTTGCTTACAAGTTACCACCCAAGAGAAAAGAAATATGTAAGCTAATGTTCGCACAGACAACCTAATTTACTTATATGAATGGACATAGAGAAATGGTGAAATCTCGTCCAGCACGAATCCTAAGCAAGCAATCATCCCACATTCTATAAGTCAAAAAGCTCCACATATATATAACCCACTAGATAAATTCATGACAATCGAGTAAATCCTACAGGTTCAAAATCTCAGCCTGCAACAACTCCCACATGTTCTCTAGTGCATAATCTAGTGGTTTTCACATAATAAAGATCCACAGAAAATTAGATCCCCAAAAAAACTTTCCAAACACAGCCTATTATTAGGCTGCCATGTTCAACAAAATATCATCTTGATTTTCATTTTACACAGTTAACCTTGGGTCGCTACGGAAACAGCCTCCTTGTATAATTACAAGGGTAAGGTCTGCGTACAACTGACCCCCCATACCCCAACCAGTTGGGAATATACTGGGTATGTTGTTGTCGTTGTTGTTGTTGTTTCACAGCAATAAATCCCTATATATTTACAGTAAGTACTGATTGAGATAAAGTCATATAAATTCAGTAATTTGACAAAAACAAACCTAGCATCCCCCTATCATCAAAGCAACAGATAACACCATTAATCGAACAATCCTCAGCATCATGATGAGACAGAAACAAAAAGAAAATACATAAAAACTCAATCTTTGTCCCACCCAAAACAAGAAAATGAAACATCCATCCAACTCAACCTTAAAAACCCAGAAAACTCAAACCTTTTCCTAATCTACCAAACCCTCGAAAAAACAATTTACGTTGTTCTTGTACGGATACAGCATGACTTTGTCAAGACACGAACAGGGTCGTTTGATTTTTCGCAATTACTAACCTCTTTAGTATTGATTGAAAAGCAAAGAAACCCAGATTCCTTCGGGTCGTGATAAGTTTTCCCTTTTTTTTTTCACAGAGATGATTAAATCCAAAATGGTGAATTAAACGACGTCGTCGTTGACCCAAGCAAAGCAAAGGGGGCAGCTTTTAAAAGGGTAGGCCGCGAAAAGATGGTGATTTGCGGCCGTCGAGATTTAGGGGTGGGCCGCAACTCCCAATGAGGACGGGACACGTGTCGGACGTGGAGAGCACATGTGTCAAGTCGGTTGAATTTTAAAATCTAAAATTATTAAGAAAAATTTGTTGAAAATTTAATTAACTTTTATAAAAAATATATATTATTATATATTTAGTATGACACTTTTTATTTGTGTGACTTACTTGTGTTATATTATAATATTTTTTTAACTTACAACATATAACTACATTAAACAAAAATATATCAACTGAGAAATAATTTTATTTTCTAATAAAATTTAATAAATATTATTTTTTATTGTTATAAAGGTAAATATTATTTATTTATTTTATATATACAATATAAATGTCAAATCGAAGATAATGAAAAGATGATTAATTTGATATATTATATATGTAAAACCGATAAGAAATACAAAAGTTGTCAACTTTTAAAATATATTTATAATTCAATAGCTAATTGAAGGAAACAAATCAAAAGTCAGGGATATATTAGTCACTTAGTGTCTCGTAAAATTACAAAGAATTAAAGGGTTATATTAGTACAAGTGATATTAAAATACCTAAGTTAGCTCAATAATATTTATGAATGTCCGAATCTAGATATTAATTATTAATATATCAATATTATTTTTCTGAACCTAATTACGAAGCATGATTCTTCGCCAAGTAGGATTCCGAAGCACCAGAAGCAGCCACGTAGGCTTAGCGCATTCGAGAATATATACAGGGGCGATTTTATTTTATTTGAGGAATTAATAATAGGAGTAGTCGATGTTGTGCATTTGCAGAGATGTAAATAAAATATTGTGAGTTATTTGTATGCATATAATGATTAATTATTTTTTTTCACCTTTTTGCTGGCTAAATTTACAAAAGGAATTGGAATATTTATTTTTTTTTTAAATTTTGTTTATTTTATTGGATGTAATGTATATTTTGATACGTCTTTTTTTTGTGAATTTATTATTTATTTAGAAATTTCAAATACGTTTTTTATTTTAAAAAAATTAATTTAAATGTAACCACAATAATAACATCTAATCACATTATACGGTCAACACATTATATGGTCAATCGTTAATAATCAAA